GATCTCAGCTTCCATATTTCCCTATTCTCTCCTACCCCCCTCAACCACATTAATGGGGAGGCCATTTGGTTTACTTTGATGTGTAAATGACTGCCCCCTCTAGAGCAGGTCACAGAGTCCTGCCCGAGTGTGAATTAATGGGCTTGGATGCTGCCCCTGGGGAGGAAGGCATGGGGCCATGGCAAAGCACTGTGTAAAATGCAGTGAGGGGGAAGGGGGCAGGGAAGGAAAGCTTAAATATGTAAAACTGGCCTGGTGTGGTGGTTCATGCACTTTGGGAGGCTCAGGTGGGAGCATTGCTTGAGGCCAGGAGTTTGAGACCAGTCTGAGCAAAAGCAAGACCCTGTTTCTACAAAAAAATAGAAAAATTAGCTGGGTTTGTTAGTGTTTGCCTTTAGTTCCAGCTACTCGGGAGGCTGAGGCAGGAGGATTGCTTGAGCCCAGGAGTTTGAGGCTGCAGTGAGCTATGATGACACCAGGCACTCTAGCCAAGGCAACGGAGTGAGACCCTGTCTCAAAAAAGAAAAAAAAAAAAGTGTAAAACTAATATGTGAGAAAAATAAGAATGGGAAGCTACAATTCTCTTACCTCACAGGTTCGTCTGCGCCTTTGGGATGTGCTGAGCGCAGATTCCTCTCTGCTCCCACCATCATCCCGGAGCAACTTCACAGACTGTGAATAATTGGCTGTCTTCCTGTAGCGGGGTTTTGCAGAATGTTCAAGGGCAGTTCAGTTGAGCATCCTGATGTCGTATTAAGAACAAGGAATTTTGGTTTCCTCATGGCTAAGTTTTTTGGCATCATAAGGAATATCCAGTAGTACAATAAAGTGGGAGCTGAAGTGGACTGTTAGGAAGTTTACTCCATTGGGCATCAGGTTTTTAGCTGGAGCAGCATGAGAGGCCTACGGTGAGTCTTGCCTGAATATTGTGGGTGATGCTCTTAGAACAGAATGTTGGTAGCGGCAGGGTCCGTGTTGAAGGCCTTGTGGAGGGCTAGAAGAGGACGGCATGGGATGAGAAGGGACTGACCAAAGGCTTCACTTCCTCAGTTCCAGCCTGCCCTGCAAAAAAAATTGCCCTAATGGAATGTGATAAAAGTCACACTTCAGGAAAAAGAACTTGACTGGGTGCCGTGGCTCATGCCTGTAATCCTAGCACTCTGGGAGGCTGAGGCGGGCCTGCTTGAGCTCAGGAATTCAGGACCAGCCCGAGCAAGAGCGAGACCCCATCTCTACTAAAAATAGAAAAATTAGCTGGACACAGTGGTGGTGTGTGCCTGTTAGTCCCAGATACTCGGGAGGCTGAGGCAGGAGGATCGCTTGAGCCCAGAAGTTTGAGTTCCCAGTGAGTTACGATGACGCCACTGCACCTGGGGTGACAGAGTGAGCCTCTGTCTCAAAACAAACCTCATTCTTACTTGCGGTAGTCAGTCGGGTTTGCTGGTATCCACATCTGTAGTGGTGGGCATGCTACACTGAATGTTAGAGCTCTAGATAATAACTGAAGCCTGCGCAGTATAGAGGAGAGTCCTGGAGTTGTTTGATTTTAGACTTTTTAGTTTCATGCAGGTTTTTGTTTTATGTTGAGTCACCAAGGTACTGGGATTTTGCCTGTATGAGCCACAAAAGGACTAAAAATGATGCCTTTAGCTTTGTCTGTCATCTTAGAAGGGTTGTTTCAGTTACCCAAGAAAGGAGTGTGAGCATGGGCACGAGATGTCAGCTCCTTCTGAGTTGAGCGCTGTGTCTGTCCCTATGCTCAGGGGTGGGATGCACGGTGCCTTTGTTACTTGGTGGCTTGGGGAGTCCCATGTAGGCTATGTGTAAATCAGAAGCAGACATCATCCCTCCACCAGTAGGAGAGCCCCTGCCACACAAGGGCCGTCTCAGCATCCATTGGGTAATGTTTTGCTCTCATTTTCAATAGTTAGATTCCTATGCGTTAACCATTTTTCTTGGCACAGTCAGGGCTTTGTCCTTAGAACAGGTATTTTTGACTATGAAGTAATTTTCCAAGGGAACTTTGATTGTAGGTGTTGATTTGGGTTTTAAAATTTTATGTCGAGGTAAAATTCATATTACAATTAACCATTTAAAAGTAGACACTCAGTGGCATTTAGTGCATTTACTGTGTTGTGCACCTGCCACCTCTCAACGTTTTCCACACCTCAGATGAACACCCCATGTCTGTTAACTGATCACTGCGCATTCTTCCCTCCCCTGTCTTCTGGCAGCTCTGATCTGCTTCCTGACTGTGGATTTGCCTACCCTGGATATTTCATGTAAATGGAATCATACGATATGTTACCCTTTGTGTCTGGCTTCTTTCTCTTAACATGTTTTTGAATTAGTACCATGTATTAGTTTTTCATTCCTTTGTCTGTCTCAATAATATTCTGTTGTGTGGCTACACCACATTCTGTATCCATTCATCTGTTGATAGACATTTGGGTTGTTTCCACCTTTTGGCTCATAGCAGTAGTGCTGCTGTGAACATTGTATGTAATTCTAGGTAGACAAGTTCTCGTTTCTCTCGGATACATACCTAGAAATAAAGTGGCTGGGTCATATGGTAATTATGTGTTTAACTTTTGTGAAAGCACCTTTCCTCTGCGGCTGCACCATTTTAATTCCTACCAGCAATGTATGAGGGTTCTAGTTTCTCCATATCCTTGCCAACACTTAACTTTTTTTTTTTTTTAATAGTCATCCTAGTGGGTGTGAAGTGGTATCTCATTGTGGCTTTGATTTGCATTCTTTTAATGACCAGTGATGGTGAACATTTTTTCATATGCTTGTTGGACCATTTGTGTATGTTTGGAGAAGTATCAGTTCAAGTCTGTTGCCCATTTTTTAAGTGGGTTGCTTGTTTTTTTGTTCCTTATTACATATACATACACACATGTATATATTCTGGATGGTTGACCCTTATCAGATAGGTGATTTGCAAATATTTTCTCCCGTTCTGGAGGTTGTCTATTCATTTTCTTGATAATGTCCTTTGATGCACAGAATCAGATGTTTTTAATTCAAGTCCAATTTATTTATTTTTTTTCTTTTGTTGCTCATGCTTTTGGTGTCGAATAAAAGAATCTCAGCCGGGTGCAGTGGCTCACGCCTGTAATGCTAGCATTCTGGGAGGCCAAGGCCGATCATTTGAGCTCAGGAGTTCGAGACCAGCCTGAGCAAGAGCGAGACCCCATCTCTACTAAAAATAGAAAGAAATTGGCTTGACAACTAAAAATAGATAGAAAAAATTAGCTGGTCATGGCGGCGCATGCCTATAGTCCCAGCTACTTGGGAGGCTGAGGCAGGAGGATTGCTTGAGCCCAGGAGTTTGAGGTTGCTGTGAGCTAGGCTGATGCCATGGCACTCTAGCCCGGGCAACACAGTGAGACTCTGTCTCAAAAAAAAAAAAAAAAAAAAAAATTTTTTTTCCTCTGATATCTACGTGCTAGGGACCATACTGATAGGAAATATGCAAAGGCAGGCTGAGCTCTCCTTAACAGTTCTGATGACGACTTTAAAATTGTTGGACTTTTGTCAGTTTTTTGAGAGGAGTAGACAATAGCCATGGGATTCTTAAATTGCTATTTTGAGTTTTAGTAGATCTGCTTTAGAGGACTTTAAAGATCTACCACAGTATTAATATAAGTCATAGTGACTTAAGACATAAAATATAGTAAAACCATGATTTTTTTAAAAGACATTACTGTTTATCAGGAGATGCACTTTAGTTATGTACTAATTTAATCGTCGCACAAGCCTATGAGGCGTTGGTGCCGTTGCTATCGGCATTTTACCAAACTGAGGCTGGAGAAGTGGAGTGATTGATCACGGTGCATCACTGTCGCGTGGCAGCGCTAGGATTCGTGCCAGTTGTTCTAGGTCTGTGCTCTTCACTGCTGGCTGCCTTGCCTCCCGGACATCTGACAGGGCATGGTGAATTGCAGCCTCCCCCTGCCCACTCCAGGTTTTTTTAATTGTTGAATCGAGAGAGGACCTTTCTTTCAGGCATTCAAAGGACTTTATCTTATTTATTTTTATAATAAAGTAATTAAGAGCCCTGGTATTAGCCCTATTTTTTCTTTTATAGATGATGCAGTTGAGAAAGTATGCAAGACCCACCCAGAGGTGGGCAGCAGGCAGTTCTAGGTCACAAAGTCAAGGCCATTACTTAGTAGACAGTATCACAAGAATGGAAAAACAAGCACCACATGTACTCACCAGCAAATTGGTTTCACTGATCAACACCTAAGTGCACATATAGTAATAACATTCATTGGGTGTCGGGCAGGTTGGGGGGAGGAGGGGATGGGTACATTCATACCTAATGGGTGTGGTGCTCACTGTCTGGGGGATGGACACGCTTGAAGCTCTGACTCGGGTGGGGCAAGGGCAATATATGTAACCTAAACATTTGTACCCCCATAATATGCTGAAATTTAAAAAAATTTTAAAAAAAGTCAAGGCCATCCAGTTAGAAATTGTTTACCTCTTGGTAGCAAGTGCTACCAAGAACAAAAGTGACAGCAAAGAGCTGCTGTTCCTTTTTTGTAATAGTATCAGGAATTCTAGATATAGTGAAGCTTAGTGGTTACTCTATGCCAGTTGGCCAGAAATCTTTATGGATTTAAAATATTCTGTGACATTTTACTATTGTTTTAAGTATTACACATTCAGAGAAGGAAAGCAGAGGTCCCAGTATTCAAGTATTAGCTCCTTTGGCATGTGTGCCGCCTCTCTCTCTCTCTCTCTCTGTTTCAGATTCCTCAGCCCTTGGCAGGAGCTTCCAGACACAGTACACACCCCTCACCTGCTCAGCCTCAGCTGTCTCAGTGGGAGGAAATCTCTCTGGACTGGGACTATGTGACTTCAGAGTGGGGATATGCTGCCAACAGTTGATATCTAAAAACCTTCACTTATGTGTTTAACTCTGTCTTAAAGCGTTCTCTTGCAGTTTCTAATTAAGCTTTGTATTTCTTCCCTTCTCTTTTTAGCCATCGATCTGATGTATGGAGGCGTATACTGCTTTTTGTGTCAGGACTACATCTATGACAAAGACATGGAAATAATCGCCAAAGAGGAGCAGCGGAAAGCTTGGAAGCTGCAAGGTGTGGTTCTGCCCAAGTTTACCTACCTCATCTCTCAACCTGCAGTTCCCTCATGTCTGTTAAGGGCAGAACTCAGTAAGAGAAAGAGAAGCACCTGGGGAGTGTGTGGAGTGGAAGTGGTGATTTGGTGGGAAGAGACCCTCACCTGCTCACTCCTTCCCCCAGGCCTATGGGGGAGTCAGCTGAAGTAGTGGGCGTGGCAGGGGAGGGGCTGGCTCTGCCACCTGCTCAGCTTCCCTATGCCCTGGGACTGTTTCCTGGGGCACTTCCCTCACCCAGGTCCCCCTTGGGGTTGGAAAAGAAAAACATACAGTGGCACTTAGCTCTCCCAGGGCATATCTGCAGATGTGAAACTGAAGCAAATATAGCACCAACAAGGTTGTGTTGTATCTGATCTGGTGGCCAGGCCATTCAGTGTCCAGAAATCCCCAAAGAGCAGTTTGCCCTCAGCTCTGCAATATTCTAGAAAGTGCTCTCTCTGCAGTAGTATTAATAATAACTATAAATACATAAACACATCAACACATCTGCTTTCTTACAGGAGGGTAGACCATTTTTCTGATTAAAGTGTTATAGAATCTCTTTTAAAACTCCGAAATGTTTGGGTGATGTTAAATCTGTGTCAGCAGATAGAAATTACCAAGTAGAAAATAGAATAATGTATCACTTAACTATCCTGGACGGTTTGGACTCTTGTTCTGTTGTGGGTGCCCCTGCTGCTGTGGTACGGTGTGGGTTTCTCACTTGCTGTCAGTGCCTTGCCCCACATTTACTTTTTTTGTCCCTAAGCAAAAATAGTCTTTATTCATATTTAATGAAAATAGGCGTCACTATACTTTGCAAGATAGGGAAAAATAGAATTCAAAAAATTATTTTCTTTTTAAATATAAAACAATATAATCACAATACCAGAATATGGAACTCTACAGTTTATTTCCTATGGGTTACTGCAGGTATCAGTTTTCTTCAACTGTGCTATTCACAACTCTGTTAAGTCTAAAAATAAGAAACCACAGTGGTAGGAAACTTAAGACTTAGCACTTTCACTAAATGGCATACATCGAAGGGCATCAATTCAAGAGCAAAAATGGCTGAGCTGACCATACCCACCTATGTCATCCTTCCAGCCTTGGCGCCATCCAGGCACTGAGCTCCTGTAGGAAAGGCCAGGCCTGAAAGCCAGGATGTTTCGGATATTCTACTCATGTAAAGGGGAGTTTTCAAAGAGAAAATTTTTTTTTCAGTCAAACAGTAAGGCCTTGGTGCCAGGAGGCTTTACTGAGAGGAAGCACTTAGATTTAACAATTATAGAGACACAGGGGAGTTAAAAATGTACGGCAGTGACGTGTTCTATTTCAGTCACTTGTGCTACGGCTACCAAACATGTACAAAAAAGATTCTTGGATAGTTGTAGCTAGTTAGGACCTTGAGTGGGACCTAGTTCTAGACCAGGAAGGCGATCTGAAAGCAGACCTGGATCGAGACTTGGACCGGAGATCGGGTTTTTGAAGTTGACTTTGACCTGGAGTGTGATTCTGACGGAAGATTTGGTTTTGATTTGGAATTCGGTCTTGACCCAGACCGGGACTCCTGATTGTGCCAACATCCTCACTCTCCTCCAGCCTTCCCTCTGGCCAGACTAGGACTTGGCGAGTTCCTTTGCCACTGAGTGGGACTATGATTGGGAGTGGTCAGTGTCTTCCTCCTTTTTCTTGCTGCTGCCTGCCTTGCTGTCTTAATCGCTGCATCACCTTCTGCTGCTCTTGCTCTTGCTCCGGCTCTCTTCCCAGCTTCTCTTCCTGCCCTTGCTCTTGTCCTTGCCCTTGCTGTGGCTCCTGCTGCCCCCTCTGCTGCACTTGTGGCTGTGACTCTTGAGGAGGCCCTCTGGCTCCGGCTCCCACTCACACTCCCTTGCTTCTCCTCTGCTGTCCTCTCCTGGCTCCTGCTCTGACTCATGCTTTCACTTTTGTGCCTGCTGGGACTCCGGCTCTTGGACTTTCCAGCACTGTCATTGCTCTGGATCTTCTCTTCAGCTTGGGCTTCGCTCTTGCTGCGGCTCTTGTCTGCACTGCAGCTGTGGCTCTTGTCCTTGCTGGGCCCCTGCTTTTCTCTTTCTTGCTTTGACTTCAGCTCTGGCTGCAGCTGCGGCTCTTGCTCCGGGAGTGGGATCTACTCTTAGAAGGACTGCTTTTGCTGCTGCCACTTTAGCTTCTGCTCTTACAGGAATATCTGCTTGAAGAATGAGACCTTGAATGGCTCTGGCTCCTGGAGTAGGATTGGCGTCGTCTGAAACCTGGCTTCTCTTCAACTAACCTGATTTTCCTGCCATTGACTTCAGTTCCATCTAACTTTTGCAAAGCTCTTTTCATATCAGAATAAGATACAAATTTAGTCACCCCTTCATTTTTTTGTCCCTTGTGAGGATCTGCATAAGTCACTTCTGCCTGACGCATATAATCCTTTAGGTCTTGCCAGCTGCACTGACTTGACAGATTGTCCACAGTAAGTCTGTGCAGGTAGGAGGGCCATATTTATCTCGGTCACTTCTGTAACCATATCCGCTGCGTCCAGAACTGCAACTGCCATTTTAGCGTGGGCCGCAGGCGTGCTCAGCAACTACTCGCTCGCCACAGAGGTCTTTGCCATTCGGTTCATAAACAGCGTCTGCATCACACAGATCATCACACTCCGTGTTCATTCTTCTGATCCACTTCGAGGATCTTCCCCTAGCCCTTAAAGAAGCGCTCCATATCGCACTCCTGGGCCTGGTAGCTCAGGGGCCGATGTATACTCCCGTACACCCGCAGCATCTGGGCAACTGCAGTGGTGACTGGCCCCAGCCCCCATAGGCGGTGGCGGCAGCAATGGGCAGGTGGCAGGACGGACGCCCACATTCACTCTTTATTGGCTACATAGAGTCAGAGATATGCAAACATTATATGACCTTGTTCTTTATCATTTCTTTCCTCTTGGTTGCCATGATTTTTTTTTTAGTTCCAGCAAATGCTCATAGTGCTTTACAGTGACAGTGATGGGTATCGTATGTCCCAGTTGATGAAGGAGCATCTCATCTCTCAAGTAGCAGAACAATTACTGTGCAAAAGGAACATGTTTTGCATGACACCTGGCATGTGTTTTACATTCTTGCCTTGATTGGTCTGCATTAAAAACATTCCCAGGCTGGGCACGGTGGCTCACGCCTGTAATCCTAGCTCTCTGGGAGGCCGAGGCGGGCGGATTGTTTGAGCTCAGGAGTTCGAAACCAGCCTGAGCAAGAGCGAGACCCCGTCTCTACTAAAAATAGAAAGAAATTAATTGGACAACTAAAAATATATAGAAAAAAAAATTAGCCAGGCATGGCGGCGCATGCCTGTAGTCCCAGCTACTCGGGAGGCTGAGGCAGTAGGATCGCTTGAGCCCGGGAGTTTGAGGTTGCTGTGAGCTAGGATGATGCCACGGCACTCTACCCCAGGCAACACAGTGAGACTCTGTCTCAAAAAAAAAAAAAAAAATTCCCATTTTTTGAGAATGGAAGAATAGAAGCAGGTGAACTCAGTGATAAGCATTATTTGGTTTTAACAGATCTTTTGTGGAGCGCAATCTTTTTGATTTGTATTTCCTGTTCCTCCCCCCCCCTCAAATTTTAGTAACATTGCAACTAAGTGTGGGTATATCATTTCATTGTGCAGGACACTTAAACCACAGGGCTAAGAAATGCATCTTCCATATTAAAACAGAATTCTTCTAAAACATTCTGTAATTTCATCTATCCAAGATACTCTTTTAAAGTCTATTGAATTATTCAGAAATTTTGGGTAGCATGGAACAAGTACTTCTGAGTGAATAGGGTATGTGTTAGGATATATGATGCTCATTAGCATTTATACCATTCTTGGTGTGAGTATTTTATGGCATATGATTGTTCAACAGTTATATCTATTTTAGTTTGCTCAAAAGTACATTTTCTCTCTGTCAGTTTGACTCATTCTCAGTTGCCTTGTAGTTCTTGTTGGTGCTGGTGCTGTAGTCTCTGTACTCTGGGATTGAGGGCATCTGAAAAACAACCATCTTGGCTTCATTGTTGGGGTAGCTTTGATTGGAGGTGTTTCTCAGCACAGTCTCCAAGAAAAACTCCTTCAAGTGTTACGTTCAGCCCATATCGGCACAGTAGGGTTTTAGAAAGCCCAAATGTTACGGATAGCTCTCTTTGAAATAAAGCCTAATAGATGGTACATGACCACAATGTTTATTTATAAACACACTTGGTGACAGTTTAGCTAACAGCACCTGGCACTGTCCTTTATCTGCTTAGGCGTTGGAGAGAAGTTCTCAACTTGGGAACCAACCAAACGGGAGCTTGAACTGCTGAAACACAACCCGAAGAGGAGGAAGATCACCTCTAACTGTACCATAGGTGGGTCAGGGCCATCTGCAGAGCCTGCTCTGTTTTCACTCTTAGGCTTCTTCTTTGGGCTTTAAAAGTGAATGTAAAGTTGTGGGTTTTGTAACTCCATGGTGCATGACTGTCACTCATCGTTTTGCTCCACAGCCAGATCGTGACACCTGTTCTCTGTGGGGCCCTGTGGGAGGCTTAGGGAGCAGTGGCTAGTGGGAATGGTCCCTGCCCTGTGGCTTCAGAGTCTGCGTGTGTCTTTATTTACGTTTCATCTTGGCAGGTCGAAGCTGGGTGCAGTCATCTTCAGGGAGAGAAGTTATGTGTGAGTGTGTGCTGAATTTTCTGAGAATTGAGGAAATGCCTTCCAGAACATTTTTTAAAAGCGTTTTCTGTTTGTTAGAGAAGCTCCATTCTAATCTGGCCTCCTGTTATAGAAAATGCATTTGGGTAATTCTGTCAAAACATATAATGGCAAAAGTAGGTGGGGTGGTGGTGGTGAGCATTCCTCTATACAGTTCATTTAAAAGTGGCATAAAAATTAGAAAAATACTACCTTTCTTCTTGCTCTTTTCTTCTTGAATGAATGAATAAAAGAAAATGACTGCACTTGGAGACGTAAAGGAAGCCACTGGGATCCAGCGGTGCATGCAGGTCGATGCACAAGTATCATAACTGGTGCTCTCCCATGGCCTCTGTCCAGGTCTGCGAGGGCTGATCAACCTGGGGAACACGTGCTTCATGAACTGCATCGTCCAGGCTCTGACCCACACGCCGCTCCTCCGGGACTTCTTCCTGTCGGACAGGCACCGCTGTGAGATGCAGAGCCCCAGCTCCTGTCTGGTCTGTGAGATGTCCTCCCTCTTTCAGGAGGTGAGCGCCGTGACTTCTGCAGCAGAATGTTTCTGTAACTACTTTGTTTTGCCCTTTTAAAAAAAGTAAAATAAGGTTGACAATAATACAGGAAGGTAAATTTAGAACTTTATGCAAGGAGTAAATATTTATTAAATGCATTTATTACAGATAAGGACACAGTTTCCCAGAAGGGCTTGTTAGATGAGAGACTGTTGGTGCAATTCACAGAGGCGTGCCGCTGACTCAGGAGGGGCCCCTGAAGGGCATGGTGGGCAGTCCAGTGGCAGCCGCTGTCTGTCTCTGTGAAGACTGGCTATTCCCCCTTCCTCCATTGTGTATCGTCCTGGTTCGGGAAGGCGTGTAGAGGTGCACGTGCCACTTCCCTGCGTCCTTCTCAAGAAAAGTGGGTCCTCTCTGCTGCCAGCCCTTTCTCCATGTGCTTCATCTAAGCCTCTGCGCTCTGCCTCGCACTCACTCTGTTCCCTTGATCTGGTTGTTGTGTGCACTCGGGACATGCCCCCAGCTGGAGGGCAGGACACAGTGGAGCTTGGGGTCAAGGAGCACCTGGGCTGGTGCCTTAGCACCCACTGCTTGGCGACCTCAGATAAAGTTCTCAGACCCAAAGCCACTCAGTCACCCCAGCTAAAAAGTGGGGCTGGTACCTGCCCTACCGGTTTCTGAGAGAACCCAGATGCTCTTCGGGTGTCTTGCACAGGAGCCCACAAACACCCTTCTTCTGTTTGTCTCAGTAGCCTTTGCCTGGAATGAAGCCAGGCCCGACCACTCACGCGCAGTCAGTGGCTGCTGTGGAGCCACAGGTGCAGAGTTGGGCAGCTGGGCAGAGACCATCTGCCCTGCAGAGCCGAGCTTACCGTGGCAGCATTCGCACTGGAGATTCACCCACGTTCTCATGCATGTCAGCAGTGTGTGCTTTTCATTGATGAGTAGTCCCATTGTATAGGCGGACTGTGTTTAGTTGTCATTTCCCAGTTCAGAGTATTTGGGTTGTTAATGGGGTTTTTTTGATGCATAAAACTACCATAAATATTTATATACCTTTACAGGTTTTTGTGTGGAAATTAGCATTTCTCTCCAGTATCTCTCCTGATTCATTTATTTAGGTCTTTAGTTTCTCTTATTGGTGTTTTGTGATTTTCAGCGTCTAAATCTTGCACATATTTCATGTAAGTATTTCATGGTTTTGGTGCTATTGAAATGGTACTGTTTTTAGGTTCAGTTTTGAATTTTTCATTGCTAGTACCTAGAAATAGTTTTTGTATATTCACCTTTTGTCCCGTGGCCTCGCTTAACCAGTTTTTAGTTCTAGTAACTTCCCCCCTCAGATTCTTCAGGATAGGTGGTCATGTCATAAATTTCACTGAAGAAGGCTTCGCTCCTTTTCTTGCAATCTGTATGCCTTTTATTTCTTTCCCTTGCCGTACCATGCTGGGTAGGCCTCTAGGGTCACGCTGACTAGGCGTAGCAAGAGGGCATGGACGTCCTTGCCTTGTTCTCGATCAAGCATGATTTCGCTGTGCATCTTTCTTAGACGTGCTTTAGTGGGCTGAGGAATTTTGCTTCCAGTCCTTGTTTGCTGAGAGTATCATGACTGGATGTGTTGCCTTTTTCCAAGTGTTTTTTTCTACAGCTGTTGAGATGGTCGTGTGACCTTTTATTTTGTTAATGTAAAATTCATTGAATTTTTACAAATGATGAACAATGCTACGTTCCCATTTAGACAAAGCGTGTCACCAGGGATGAGGGGGAACATTGCATAATGATAAAGGGTCTTCAGTATCCCTGCCCATAGATCCTTTCTGCGTACTTGTGCTACTGAAGGAAGAGTTTTGAAATTGCCAGCTGAAACTGGATTTGCCTATTACTCCATTCAGTTCTAGTAGTTCTTGCATCATGTGTTCGAAATCTCTTTTTTTTATTTTTTGAGACAGTCTCGCTCTGTTGCCCGGGCTAGAGTGTTGTGGCAATCCTACTGCCTCAGCCTCCTGAGTAGGTGGGACTACAGGCATGCACCACCATGCCCAGCTAATTTTTTCTATCTATTTTTAGTTGTCCAGCTAGTTTCTTTCTTTTTTTTTTTTTTTTTTTTTTGAGACAGAGTCTCACTGTGTTGCCCAGGCTAGAGTGCCGTGGCGTCATCCTAGCTCACAGCAACCTCAAACTCCTGGGCTCAAGCAATCCTTCTGCCTCAGCCTCCCGAGTAGCTGGGACTAGAGGCATGCGCCACCATGCCCGGCTAATTTTTTCTATGTATTTTTAGTTGTCCGATTAATTTCTTTCTATTTTTAGTAGAGACGGAGTCTCACTCAGGCTGGTCTCGAACTCCTGAGCTCAAACCATCCGCCCGCCTCGGCCTCTCAGAGTGCTAGGATTACGGGCACGAGCCTCCACTTCAGGCCGAAATCTCTCTTCTTAGTTGCGTGCAGGTTTGAGGTAGTGTCTGCAGCTGGTCCGGGGACTGTGCTGTGAGGACCGCGGCTCTGTAGCGTGGGTCCTTGGAGGGGTCTCAGTGCACAGGTGGAGAGGTGGGTTGTGCTGTTTGTTTAGCGATTTGGCCTTTTTGTTAGATTTCTACCACATAATCTATTGCTAGTTATTTGTTTTATGGGTAATGTAATGAAGACTTTGCATTTTTGCAGCTTGCAGAGATTCTGTATCAGTCTAGCAAAACACTAACACTTCCACAGAGGAGTTCCACCGTGGCTGGGCCTCGGCTCCTGAGTCACAGCGTTCAGGGTTTGCTGAGCCTCTTCTCATTCCTTCCCTCCCTGTTAGGATGAGCAGTTTCATTTTCTGTTACCTGTGGACAGTGGCTCTAATTCTTTCCTTTACCAGACAACTTGTTAGCATCTCTTTTCCTCACAGCTATTCTCCGCTCTCACCTGTTGTCATTGTACAAGTGTTAACCCTAAGCCTCATGAGGAATTTGATGTGTTCTTCCTTGCCTACTTCATGGCACTTCTCTGTAAACAACTGGCAGTTAATATCAAGTAGATGAGTGTCTTGAGAGTGTAAGCCCTTTGGGAACTTGAAAGAACAAAGTTAATTTCATTATTATCTATTAATAATATGTTACTATGTCATTTTGTTTCCCTGAACACTTTCAGAATTTGTAATTTAAAATTAGGGATCTGTTCGTAAGAAAGGGACACTCTGCGTCTGTTATAAGCAAAATTAATGTTAGCTCAGAAGGTAGAATCTGAAATGTGAATGTCAAGTGGTCGTACACGTTCATGCTTTTGTATCTGAGCAGGGCAAGAACCCTCTGTGGAGTTTCATCTAGTTGGGAAGCCGTAGAACATAAGATATGACGCTTGGTCTAGTGTCCCGAGGAGAGGCAGTGGGGAGAACTGGCTGGCAGGCCCTGGGGCAGTTAGCCTCAGAGCTGGAGGAGCAGGAGAGTCTGTGGCTGACGCTCTTGAGTCTTCTGTAATCACAGTAATGTGTGATCCCTGTGTGGAAGCGCTGGTGGACATGGGCCTGAGGTGGTTTGATGCTTTGAGTAAACTAGTATTGGGCAAAATGAATCATTTTTACATGCATTTGAGCTCACATTGCAAGTCATAATTCAACATTTAGGCTTATCTGTAGAAAACTAGATGGCGGGAAGAGAGAAACTCATATGCGGACTCAAAGAGTCCAGTGAGTCCAAATAAAAATAGTTTTTTAAAAAAAAGTAAAATTGAGCCATTTTTGTCAAACTAGCCTTACCAATTGTAGGCAGCCGTTAAATGTTTTTTGTTGTCTGTCCTGTGTTCAGAGTCTGTGTTTATTCCTGACCAGTTTATCCCTTTTCCTTGTCGGAGCAGTTTTACTCTGGGCACCGGTCCCCTCACATCCCATATAAGTTGCTGCACCTGGTATGGACCCACGCGCGGCACCTGGCGGGCTACGAGCAGCAGGACGCCCACGAGTTCCTCATCGCAGCCCTGGACGTCCTGCACCGGCACTGCAAAGGTTGGCTGCACCTCCTGTGCCTCTCCCAGGGTTAGGACAGGGTTTTCCTTGACGAGAGGAAGCAAAGCGAGTATGCACTTGTGCAAATCAGCGTGGCTGACATTTGATTGTGTTATAGACTTCATAATCCTTTTTTTTCCAATAAGAAGACACCCTAATTACCTCAAAGAGGTTCTTCATAGTTTAACAGAAGAGGAAATAGCTTCAGCAGCCTGGCAGTCTGTCCTCCCTTGACCCATCATGGTGAACAGTGAAATCTCAGAACGCCCAGTGTGGTTTGGGGTCTCTGCCTGCTTGGGATGGTTTTGGGGTTCCTCTGGGTTATCAGGCCTGAGGCCTCCGAGTAATCCCCAAACACACCTTAGCTGGCAAAACTGTCTCCCTCCCCTTGCGGGATCTCCAGAAGGACTGACTGTTGCTGTGCAATGGCCAGAGAGCGCTGGGAACAGCACTGCCCCTGTGTGCTTGCCAGCACTCCCTGACCCGGGGCACATCCTTTCTGATTCCAGTCAAGAGCCTTTTGTTTTAAAGTCTCTCTTGGGCTCTTATTGAAACTCGGCCTCTCCCATAACATAGTCTCATAGCCCGAGCCCAGAGGGTGCTCAGATATGTGTGAGTTTTGATGGTTTGGGGGCTGGAGGCGGGAGATGAGGACTGAACCACTCGAGCCAAGCTTGACCCCTCTCTGCCCTCCTCACTCTGGGGTCCCAGCGTGGAGGACCCAATGGCTTAGATTCTGTCAGCACAGGTACCAGCTGGGGTCGATTCTCAAACTTGAGTGTAGGCTGGTCACCCAGAGGCTCCTTGAAACATGTTGCTGGGGTTTTCTGATTCCATGGGCCCAGAGGTGATGCTGATGCTGCTAGTTCAGGTGCTGCCCCGAGGACTACTGTGCTCAGGTGACTAGGGACCTGGCTGCCCGTGGGTTACCTGTGGCCTCTGGGCTGGCACAGCTAGTTGGTGGCAGTATCCTGCCAGCTAATTTTCTCTTTAATTGGTGTCTTTTGAAAAACAAAGTCCTGTTTCCCGGGTCACTCCGTCTAAGGGCCTGGTGAGCTGGCCTTCCCCATGCCGTCAGTCCCTCGGCTGAGCTGCCGCGTGGCACCCACAGTCGCCTGGTGGGGTCTGGGGTCCAGCTCAGAAATGACCCACACTTGAGGTAAGATGTCTGGTTTTAATGCACTGTCATGGAGTTAGGTACTGGTTGTTGGTCTTAAATTTTTTCTGCTGAAAACGTATGCATGATCCTTTTAATAATGCTTGTCCTAGGAATCAAAAGTTGCTCAATAGCTTAGGTAAAATTTGGTTTCCTAATGTGATTTATAACATACAACAGAAAAGAGCCACTGTGGAAGATTATTAAATTATTATTCCAAGCACCTAGTGAGAATAATTAAGAGCCTTCTGTAACCAGCAGAAATCTGATCTAAAACTCAAGTATTTGAAAATGAATTGCTGTTAAAATGTTTACATAAGCAAAAAATGATGAAACTGTTGTGATCTGCTTCTGACATAATTCGCACTGAAATGTCTGAAAAGAAATGAAAGGTTCTTCTTAGAAACGTTGGCGATCAGAACCCTGTAGCGAGGTTGCCCAGGCGCGGTGCACTTGGGGATGCGCAATTGTTTAAGGCATGGGGGCCGCCACTGCTGTTTCTGTGTGTCTGTATTTGTGTCTTTCTTGTGTGTGTTATGTTTTCCTGTACTCTAAGATTCTGTCCCATGAATTTGAGATCCTTCTGGGCAGCATCTTCTTCCTAATCTTAAATTTTCTGCTATCGAAAACTCAAAGGCCATTCTTTATTCCTTTGTAATAATTCAGCTTGATAGTGTATAACATATATACAGATGGCCACACACGTTGTCTAGTCGAATGAAGTTGTATGTGTTGTATTTTGCTGCGTACATTTTTTATTTATCTACATACACATAAATAAATAAAACGTGTGTTGAGTAGAGGGTGGGAGTGGCACTTCTCTAGATAAACCTGCCTGGATGACAGGCTGCTTACCTGGGGTGAGAGTGCATGAGCTGGCGGGGAAAAGCCCGAGAAAGTCATATAGTGACACTTCCTGATCTAAGGGCACCATTTTACCTAGCCAGGGAAGGGAGAGGGTAGGGGCTTCCCTGGGAATATTTGGCCCACAATAAGTTTGGCTATCTCACTAGAAACATATTTATTTAGTGTCTCTGTATATGAAAAAGGGAATCAATAACTCTGCCCAGTTATTAGGCATTAGATGTGCTTTGTTGCTAAGATAAAAAGAAGCTCTAAGGCACTCTTCTTAGGGAATGAAAGAAAGAAGAGTTGGAAATCCAAGAGCTCCAATTTCTCATCACATTAAAATAATGATGGGACCCTCTGCCAGGTCTGTTGAAATGATGAATACCAGAGTGTCAGCACTCCTGGCTTCCTTGGGCCCCTCCTGGGCAGATGTGTCCTTCTCTTGGGGCCTTGCCATCTTTATGGTGTACAGATGCTAATCACGGAGCGTGATCTGTCCCCAGGTGATGATAATGGGAAGAAGGCGAACAACCCCAACCACTGCAACTGCATCATTGACCAGATCTTCACGGGGGGGCTGCAGTCGGACGTCACCTGCCAAGTCTGCCAGTGAGTGTGCTCTGCAGCGTCAGCACTGGCTCCATTTGTGTCGGCACCACAGCAGATTCCCGTCAGCACAGCCGTGTGCTCTGAACAGGCTTTAAAGTAGATTCCTGGCCCCAGAGCATGGTGGACGCCACCCCCACCAGGCCATCTTGATGGATAGGTCACTGGGCTGTTTGGCTCTTACAGTGGCCTGTCTGCAGCAGCAACCAGCCGAGAAGCAGAGGTGGTTTTGTTAGACAGCCACACCGTTGTCATTTGTGGAGACAGAATAGCTCTAATTGAAAAGATACTAGAGAAATGATGAACAGATGCTCTGAGTGTGAAGGTCTTGGTGGGTGGGCCTCGTTCTCTTGGAGAGGCTGGTGCCCCCGTGGGCACCCTCAAGTGGGGGTCATTTCTGATGTGCACCCTCAGTGTCGAGGTCCTTGCTGTTGTCCACTCCACAGGATGCGTTCTTGGGAGCTTTCCCCCGTCCCCCATTTCTCTGCTTCCCTTATAGTCCTCGACACCAGGAACCAAATACAACAGGCCCATTTCATGAAGGGCTAGATCACAAATGGCAGATTTTTGACGTGTGTTCCGAAGTGTATTAGTTTTAATGAATTTATGGTTTCCTTTTCCATTTTCTCTAATGCAGTGGCCCTAATTCTTTCCAGGTGTGGCCTCTGCTTAGTGTTCCAAGCTTCTAGAGCCAGAAAGAGAATCCCTTGTTAGGTTAGAGGAACCCTCTTACTCAAACTCAGTGCATGCTACTAGTTATTTTTAGAAATGAGGTCTCATATGTCACCCAGGCTGGAGTGCAGTGGCATCGTGAGAGCTCACTGTAACCTTGAACTCCTGGGCTTAAGTGATCCTCCTGCCTCAGCCTCCCGAGTAGCTGGGACCACAGGCTGTTGCATCTGGCTCTGTTTTTTATTGCAGATCAATTTTTTTAAAATGTGGTCATGATCCACTAAAATTACTTCAGAACCCCTAATGGATTGCTATTTGCAGTCTACATAAGGCCAGTTGGATATTGGAAAGGCCAGAGCTGCCTGTGTCAAGGTGCAGCTTTCTGTAAGGATCATAGATTGCGTGACGCCTTGGTTCTAATCAGGTTGGGCTCAGAGTTTGCTCTGTGCAGTTCTGACTTCCTCACAGGCCCTAAACTACTGAATTCCATTAGCAGGAGATTGTTTCAGCTTTAAATCCTGTTTAAATATCTATACTACATTCATCAATCTGAGTTTTTTTTTTTATGTTGTGAAATAATTCTCTAGGAAGGAACTGGTCTTGTTAAGTGCAGCATCAATTGCCCAGCTGGGGCTGCCGGGCCTGGCTAGTGCATGCTCTCTGGGAAGTGTGCTTGGAGGCCTCCTTTACCACCCAGGGTAGGAGGTTCCAGTTCCCAGGTGCAGCAGAGAGAGATCCATGGATTCAGAGCCTCTGGACTGGCGCCTGTGAATTTTTAATCTTAAGAAAATCCCTAAATGATTATGATGGTCTTCCGGGTTTGGAAATCATTGCTTTAGGATCAGCCCTGGCCTTAGGGGTTCACACATCCCTTCCTGGGGCCACCTTGGGAGCCCAGGACATGCTGGGTGTGAGCACTCTGCTCTCTGTCCAACCTGAGATGATGCTCGTGCAAAAGGGTGAAGTGGGGAAGGGGAGGGTGGGGCATCCTCCACACGGTGTTGCCCCAGGAGCCACAGTGGATAGTAGTCCTCACGTGCGTCTGTCTCCCTTTGCTTCTAGTGGAGTCTCTACCACAATAGACCCCTTCTGGGACATCAGTTTAGATCTGCCTGGCTCTTCCACCCCATTCTGGCCCCTGAGCCCAGGAAGTGAGGGCAGCGTGGTGAATGGAGAGAGCCATGTGTCGGGAACCACCACGCTCACGGACTGCCTGCGAAGGTGAGAAGCCCACCATAGTCTTCCTCATGGGAAGGGTGTTCAGAAGCAGGGGTTGATTAGGATCAAATGGGGCTTTTTTTTTTTTCACATGCCTAGGACAGAGCCTTGAGAACAGACAGGACATTAGCCTGCGGTTGCTCATGCTAGTTTGCCTTTTTTTTTCCCTCTCCAAGACGAGTAGATATTTCTGTCCACCAGCTTTGCATAGTGTAGGATATCTTTATCCCTAGCTGGCGGTCCACACCTCGATGTACATGAACTGAGAGCCATAGAGCAAGACTTGGAGCTCCCTCACCTTTTGTGGTTAATAACCTACACCAGAGTGTGAACAAAGAGCTGCCCCACCCTATGGTACATGGCCTTTTCTGCAAGAGATCAGAACGTACATGTGGTCTTCCGTACTTGCAGTCATTTTCAAATTTGTCCATTCACCACTTCATTAGTTCAGATAAGTGATAAAATGTAGGGAGTGTTTGCTGTAAAATATATTCAAATAGCTGTAGCATATAATTGTGAAGAGATCAGAAAAACTTCCTAAATTTTAATTGAGTCTAGTGTTCTATAGCCTTTATTTTCTTTTACTTGGATTAATTAAAGGTTACTGCAGGAGAATCCCTGTTGAGTGAAAGTGTTCCTTAGAAAGGGTGCAAGCTTTTCTTGCACTGATAGGTCCAGGTGTATAATGGAGTACCACATTTTAATTTGGAAAACGAACAAATAACCAAAACCAAAAACATTTTTCAAAGACACTAAATTAAAATTTAGTCATAAATTTCAGTAAAACTGAAACTTTATACACAAAGCAGGCAATGGGGGAGAAGGCAGTAGAACTACCAACCGAAATGTGTAGGAAACGTGTGTGGTTAGGAGAGGCCTCGCATGGCTGGCGACAGCACCCACGTCGGGGGAGAAGAGGTAGAGCGCGTCCATCCCTGCCTTGTGTTGAAAGCAAGGGCTCCCTTTTCCAAGTTCTCCCGAGACTAGATCACAAGGCCGCAGTGAAACAAGCTCAACTTTGGCCAGAGGGCTCCTGTCTTGTGCTGGGTGAGATGACAGAATTTCTAAAGCATAAACAATGGCTCTCCATACTTGGTTGAAGAAAGATTGGGTTGTTTGTTTTCAGCTTTAAAAATTGGTGTACAGTACATTGAAATGTCTGTTTTATGAGTTTTTATTGTTAGTAGCTACCTGTTGTGCCAGAAGTGCTTTTAACGCAGCCCTTCTGTGTCATAATCTGTCCCCACCGTTAGAAAATTAGTTCCCCAGACATCTCAGTTCTTTAAGGAAGGCTTTTTCCCCCCACTTTTGTGCACCATTTTATTGGGAGGGCTGACCAAAGAGGAAAATGCCTCTTTAGCCAGAGCCAGTCCGGTCACAACTGAATAAAGGCAGAGTGTCGGGGGAATAGTATCATGGAAAGAAGGAGCGCAAAGCTCGTGCCTTCTGGGAACCAAGGGTGGTTGGCACACAAGTCATGGCGTTCGTGAGCATAAAGCCTTGCATCTGCAGCTAGGATGACTTGGCACCTTGGGCAGGGAATGGCTGGTGCAGCTGGGACTCCCTCCTCCAGGTCTCCTCCATCTGACTCCTGATGGGGGATGCGGGCGGCAGGGGAGGCTGTGGGGTGGGTGTCGGCAGGGCTTATCAAGGCAGTGTTGATCCTGCCTGTCCTGGGGCCACCTGTGGCTCTGCGGAGTGTTGGGTTGGGCCAGGTCAGGGTCCAGAGGCTCTGCGCCCAGGCCAAGGAGATATGCTGACCATGTTAGGTGGCCCGGACTGCCCCGGTTCCATGGCCTGAAGGGACGGGAAGGTAGTTGCCAGTCAACATCATTGTGGCCCCAGGAGCAGGGCCCAGCTTTGGATAGTAAGGAGGTGGCCAGGGACTTGAACTCCCTGGGCTTGGGCCAGCACAGCCAGGGCCTTGGCACGTGTTCTTGTGGGCAGGGGTGTGGCTGCCAATACCCAGGGTCACCAGAAGAATGAAATCAAGTTAAGCTTCTTATGTTGGGATAATTGCAGCTCCCCTGCAGTTGTAAGAAACCACACAGAGAGAGCCCGCGTACCCTTCACCCAGTGTCCCCGATGGTAGCCCTGCAGCACTGTGGTGGGCACCACAGCCAGGATGCTGACGTCCGGGCAGGAAGTGCCCAGCCTCTCCATCGCCATGGCGTCCCGCACAGCTGTGCCTCCTGCCCTCCCGCCATCCCCTCCTGCACCATTTCTACAAATCCGACCTTTCAGGGTTACGTACATGGCATCATACAACGTGTAGCCTTTTGGCGGCAGCTTTTTTCACGCATGGTGTTTTCTGGAGATTCACCCAGGCTGCTGTGTGGATCACTGGTGTGCCTTTTTGTTGCTGACCAGTATTTGTGGCTGCACCACAGTTTAACCCTTCACCGCTGGAGGACATCTGGGTCATTTCCGGGTCTTTGGCTGTTAATCAGTAAAGCCTCTATAAACATTTGTGTATAGTTTTTGTATCAATACAAATTTTCATTTTTCTGGGGCAAATTTAACTGCTGTGTGGTATGATAGTTAGAAAATTATTACCATTTCTCCAGGCCTTCGATTTAAACAGTATTTAAGATAAATGTTTTTTATAAAAAATAGGCAGGAAAGGTGGAGGAAAAAATAATTTCTTTTTTGCATTGTGAAATCACAAACATCCTTAACTGTATATGTAAGTTTTTAGTAGAGAAATCGACCCATCGAAAGTGATAAAATACCTGTCTTCTCTCGTTCCTGTCTCTTACGTCTCCCATCTTTCTTATGCCTCGTAGATTCACCAGACCAGAGCACTTGGGAAGCAGCGCCAAGATCAAGTGCAGTGGCTGCCACAGCTACCAGGAGTCCACCAAACAGCTCACCATGAAGAAACTGCCCATCGTGGCTTGTTTCCATCTCAAAGTAAGTTTTCCAGCAAGCCAGTTCTAGCGGCAGACTGATTCAGTGCACAGTGTGACGCGCAGCCCGTAGGTCTGGTTTACAGAAGACGTTTTGTAACTGCAGCGAGTCAGTAGGGAACGCTGAGCAAGCTCGGGGCTGCGAGTGTGATGACTTTTCCCCTGTGCTGTGGCCACCAGAACACAGTCGCCTCACAGTGAAACGTAGGGTGTCAGTTACTCTGTGGGGCACGTAGTTAAGACTTTATTACTTCTACCCAGATTTGCTATCTCCGCCTGGCCCAAGTTTTCTGTTTTTCTCTTACTTTATTACAGAGACACTTAGCATTATGATCTAGTTAAGGAGTCAGCAGGCTTCTTCCATAAAGGACCAGATAGTAGATCGTAATATTTTAGGCTTCCTGGGCCACATATTCTTTGTTTTATTTTACAACCCTTTAAAAATGTAAAACAATTCCAAGCTCACTGGCTGGATTTGGTGCCCCTGATCTAGTCAAAGGAGTATCTTTTGTCTGGTGAAAGGAAGGACATGTTCATTTTTGCTGCCACCAGTTATGGATGTGTGCTTCCTGCAGTTCGCTGTGTTTGCTGAGAGATGACATCGTAGTAGCCCTGGTGTCACCCCTGAACGATCCCGTCATTTCAGGGCTTGACCTGAACCCCATACGTTGGAGTTTGTATGGATCAACATTGTGGTGTTAAATCTGTGAGCTCTGCATGCAGCCAAAAGACATTAAAAAACATACAGTGTGAGGCACAGAGAAGTGTCATTGGAGGAAACCACTAAAGTCTGGGAGCTGACTGGCGCTTGTCTCCTTTCTTACTCTTTCCCCAACTCCTGTTTCTGTAGCGATTCGAACACTCAGCCAAGCTGAGGCGGAAGATCACCACGTATGTGTCCTTTCCCCTGGAACTGGACATGACCCCCTTCATGGCCTCCAGGTAGGAGAGGGTTTGTCCAGCTGCATCTGGGCAGGGGATGCTATGGTCCTGGTGGGGCTTTGACAAGGTGATTGCTGACGTTGATACAAACCTTACCTACCACAAGCTTAATTATTTACCCTGATCTTAACCAAGACATATTTTAATGAATTGCTTTTCCTCAGATACAGTTTTTGCTTTGAATATTTCTCTGATAATTCTCTGTCCACTTTTAAACTTGGGAATTCATCAAGGTGTGGGATCCAGTGAGAAGGCAGCGCTTTATTTGGTAGAACAGATTTTGAAATATAAACAGATGTTTATTTTGCAGTTGTAGATTTCATTTTCCTTGTTTTCAAACCTTTGTATCATAGACCACTTAAAATGTAATCCTCCAAAAACCATAATGCTCATCGATGCACAAAACCGTCAGCATCCTGTGGCTGCTATAACAAATAGCCACGAAGTCAACGGCGCGAAACCACAGAAGCAGATTTTCTCTCTGTGTGAGAGGCCAGAAATCTGAAACTGAGCTGTAGGCAGGGCCCTTTCTCCTGTGAAGGGTCTGGGGACGGTTCGGTTCCTGGCCACCTCCCGGCTCTTGGGCTCCTCCCACCAGTCTGTGTCCCATCTCCCGCTGCTGATCCCTCCTGGAAACCCTGGTTTCTGGACTTAGGGCCCACTCAGGTCATCAGGATGATCTCTTCTAGACATCCTTATTAACTGCCCACATCTGCAAAGACCTTTCTACAAGTAAGATCCCATCTCAGGTTCCAAGAGCTGAAATGTGGATGTTATTTTTTAGGGGATGCAGCTTAACCCACAGCACCATGTAAAAACAAATTGCTTTTGTTATTGGCATCTTCCTGGTGTCCTTCCTTCTGGTCCTGCTCCTGGGGCATACAAGTGACCATCTCAGATAAAACAAGACCACCAGGGTTATAGCTCTGTGCTGTCAGCCTGTAACCCTGTGCCCAGGGAAGTGAGCCGGCCCCAGTCACGATTTCATGAGTCCATGAAGGTGGTGGTACGATTGCTGATGTCAGGGTCTCAAGAGAGCTTGGTGTTTTCTGCTATTGGTAGCCACAGCCCCCTTACATAAATGAGATAAATAAAACGTGGATTTTCCTGTTTCCAGTGCTGCCCCTCCCCCATCTCACCAGCAGATGTGCAGGTTATGAAGTGACAAGCAGCAGTCTTTGTCCTTTGAGGAAACAGCTGTCTAGGCTGTTGAGTGGATTTAACTTGAGAGCACCTTCGCATCTGGTGTGTTACAGACTAAACTCTGGGAACTTTGTCCCAGTTCCAGCTCCTGTCATAAGCCCATTCGGAAGTTCTCAGGCAGTGAATGGCCTGTGGCTCCATTCCCCACCCCCCCCAGAGAGGACATGGTAGTGTCAGGAGGCCAGGCCAGGTGGCCCTGGGGCCCAGGTGTGCCCTAGGCAGTTCACCTCACAGACCAGCCCCGGTGTCCTCAGGTAACACGGGGATCACTTCTGCCTAAAATGGAGTTGTTGAAAGAACAAGAAAGCACATAAAACATACCTTAGCACGGCATCTGGTGTGGTTGGTGTTGCTGGAGCCCTGTGTCTCTGCCTGATGATGTTATTTAATCTGTGAGGCTGCATCCGCCCTTGTCTGTTACAGCAAAGAGAGCAGGATGAACGGACAGTACCAGCAGCCCACGGACAGTCTCAGTAATGACAACAAGTAAGTGCTGCCAAGTAGTGTGTGTGTCCTGGTGCCTCTGGTCACGCTCCGGGCAAGCGGGCATCCCTTCTGCCTCGTAGGACACCAGTGGCTCTCGGGAACCACACGCTTAGGAGCGGTACTGGCAGGGCTCTTGTTCCTGTGGCCACTGACCTACTTAGTGTCTGGCCCTCTGCCCTCTGTTGGGGAGGGACTTTGTATACCTCGTCGTTATAAATGTTCCCCACTGTCGGAGGAGCCCCATCCCTTCCCCTGGTCTCTGGCCGGAGGGAGGTTCCATTTGGAGAGCTTGACTGGCTGCCTTCGCTGCACACAGTGGGACCTCTTTTCCTTTCACTGTTCTTCCTCCTGTTGATGTTGTGGGAAGAACGAAGGCTGGTGTGTCTGCCGCTGCCTGCTTCCATTAGATGCAGTCTCAGATGGCAGCGGAGTGAGGGAGAGCGAGCAGGGCTGGCCAGGCTCTCCCTCCCCTCTGTTAGCCTCCTGTGTGTCAGCCATAGCTGCTGGGGTGCGGTGCTTGGGCCCGGGCCTCCCCTTCCCTGCCTGGGCTGTCTGGTTTCTGACGGTCAGCTGCTCTCTCTCCTACTCCTTCCCTCCCATGCTAGATATTCGTTATTTGCCGTTGTTAACCATCAAGGGACCTTGGAGAGTGGCCATTACACCAGCTTCATCCGGCAGCACAAAGACCAGTGGTTCAAGTGTGATGATGCCATTATCACCAAGGCCAGCATTAAGGACGTGCTGGACAGCGAAGGGTGCGTCCTTGGGTGGGAGGAGAACCCTGCTCAGGCACCTCTGCTTCCTGTCTGTTCATCTGAGTCCACAGCCACGTCTGCACCTAGTGCATTCAGGGGGGTTCACCTTCTGTTGCCCAAGTGACAAGGGCTTGTTCTAGGTAGAATGCCGGCCTCAGTGAGTCATCAGAGGGGAGAGAGAGAATGTTCCCTCCAGGGACCAAGGGGACCTTGCTGCCATGGACTCTTTGAGGGGTTTGGACTTTATATTCTGAGCAACAGGAAAGCCCCCTTGAGAGGTTTTACATAGAAGAATGTGTGTGTTAAAGGGTAGTCTTGAGGGCAGCAGGTGGATTTGGGCTGGACCCTGTTGCAGTGGTCCTGGCAGACGCTGGGCCCCACGCAGGCGGGGTAGTCATAGCTCGGGGAGAGGGCTGTGGAGGTCGGGGGGCCTCCTGGTGGGGGCAGTGCCACCAGTTAGTGAAGTGCTCTCTCCCCCTTGGGGATTGAAAAACCAAAACCATCAACCAAGAAATTGGGCTCTGGCACATGTGCAGAGGGCGCTGAGCTGCGCTCTCGTTTGGGGCAGTGGCTTTGGTTTTGACATCTTGTGAATCAGAGTGTGAGCATCTTCCTCTCTCTGCCTCTGCAGGTACTTGCTGTTCTATCACAAACAGTTCCTGGAATATGAGTAGCCTTATCCGCAGCTGGTTGGAAAAAATGAAGGTGACGAGTTGGCAAGCCTAACGATGTGACCCCAGCCTCCCCGACCTGGAGACACCACCTCCCACACAGTCACGCCCTGTGGGCCCCTCTGCCCTGGGACCCTCAGGGTCAGGACCAACAAGCACAGGTGGTGGGGGCTCCAGGAGCTGTACAGAGGCCAGACGGGGGTGTGCTCTGGGCAGGAAGCAGCAGAGTAGCCCTGTCGCCAGGAATCTCCCGTGCTCCTCAGGATGTCGGGGGAGTTGGGAGCCTTGGCACTTAGCAGCCTCTGCCCGGCACTTCCTGATGCCTCCAGTCATTGCCCAGCTTGCAGTTTGGAAAGGTGTCTGCTTGTCTTAAAATTATGGGTCCATGAAAGCAGTAAGTCAAAGAGACTAGGCTAGTGTGCAGGGCAAAGCTTTGCAGACACCTTTCTCTCCGTGAGCTTAGCATTAAGGATGTCGAGTATGGTACTCTTAGCCTCCGTTTTTTTCAGCAGCTGTGGAGCAGCCCCCAGCGCTTGTGGAAGACGCTAAGTTGGGTTTCCAAGTGCATCCGTTCTGCAGATAACTTAGCATCAAACTGCATGTGGAAGCATCTCTCAGTTTTTTAGCAATAGGCATTTTCTTATCCCCCACCACTTTTCTCTCTTTTTCCACAATGGTGAATTTCGAAAATGTAATAATAGTAAACTGAATGAATTATGAGTTCATACTGAAATTTAGATAGTTCCCCCTTTGTTCTCAAGAGTGGCTCTTGTTTTTAACTGGTGCTGTTTGTTGCCCCCTGCCCCCAGCATCTGTGTGTTTGGTCAGTGGAGTCACAGCGGGAGAATCGGGCCGTAGCTAGCAGCTGTCTCTGTCATCCTAGTCCATGGAGCAAATGCAGCATCTCCCAGTCGTTTCATTGCTTCCAACCCTGGTCTTTTCCTTCCTGGCCTTCTGTCCCATTGACCGTCTGTGGCCGCTCGGCGGCGAGTCCGTGGGTGCAGAGCTGCAGTGGCTCCAGTGGGGATGGGTCGTGTTGCTGCTGTGCCTCGCTTTGCATTCGGTGCGGCTTCCGGTGTGGCACGAATAAAATGACTTCGTGATTGAGCTTTTCGGCAGAGCTGAGGAAGGAGAACAATATGCGTTGTTCCTTGTAAGATATTTTGCATGTGTCTATCCAAACTCAAATTTAGATTGTCCATTTCTGAGAAATTACAACCTAGGAACATGGGGGAGGAAATCTTTTTTAATACAGTTTGTGAAGCAGCCATCTCTCGAGCTGTGTTTGTCCTGGAAGCCCTGTCTGCATCTGAACTGCGGGATCTTCAGTCCGGGAGAGAATGGAGTCATCTGTCGCAGGGTTGGCAGGTGTTTTTCACAAAGGGCCAGGTGGTAAGCATTGTAGGCTCTGGGGGTCTCTGTAGGTCTCTGCCATAGGTAACACCTAAACAAATGAGTGTGGCTTGTTCTAATACAGCTTTATTTATGGACGTGGAAATCTGAGTTACATACAATTTTCATGTGTCAAGAAATTCGGATTTTTTAACTATTTAAAATGAAAATTATTCTTAGTTCACAGGCCACACAAAAGCAGGTGGGAGCAGCTCTAGCTCATTAGCTAGTGCGGCTGGGAGGGGCAGAGACAGCATGGAAGACACGAGAGCCTGGGAAATGGCCGCACTCACTGCGCAACCGTCATGCGGCAGCAGCCTCGGGGATACGGTTTTTGAGCACTTGCCCGATTCATTTCGTTGTATTTCTGCGCTTCGAGAATACAAGTCGAAGCATGTTTTAAAATAAGCATTATTAAAGAAATGTGGGTGGGCCCAGAGTTTTGGAAGTGGCCCCATGTGACCGTACTCTGTGTGTGACTGCTGTGCAGGTCTCTCCTGGGGAGAGGCGGTGTTTTATCGGGAACGACCGTCTGGGGAGGAGAGCTGACTGCGGTGGTCCTGCAGCCCCGTGAGCGCCCTTGCTGCTCTGGAGTGCCAGCCTCAGGCCTTTCTGGCAGGTGACCTGCGGTCCCCTCGGGCCGCGCTTCCCGCATGCCCCCTTACACCTTCCTGTTGCTGTGTTGAGGGGCGCCGACTGCTCCCCGAATGTTAGAGCTGGGAAGGGAGATGGAGCCACTTTAGTTTTTAAAAGGCATTATTAAACTTTTGTATCCGAGTCCCCTCATGCGCTGTGGCTTGAGTGTTGGAAGCACTCTCTTCTGCGGCGCTGCCTGGCCCTTGGCCTTAGGGCCGGGGTTTGATATGCTCATGGGAATTTACTTTGTTAGGAGCAAGATATTTGCATGATGGGTTCCGGAATCTTCTTTTAGCTCCCAACCCGGCTGTAAAATTCAGGGAAATGGTTTTTCCGTTCCTAGTGACCACCCTGTGTAGGTGTCGATAGTGAGAAAGTGCATCTTGCCGCTAAGGGACACGCTGGGTGAGTGTGTTAAAAGCAAAGGTACTTTGGAGATGCTGGCTGTCGTCTCAGTGCTTCTCAGTAAGATAGATGGACTTCCCCTCTTTAGACACTCCTGAAGCGAGAGTTTTGAGCCCTGCGATGTGCTGGGAGCTGGGCGGCCTCCCTCAGCCCAGGGCCCTCCGCGGCCTGGGCTCCCTCCCGGGCCCGGAACAGGCCCTGGACCTCCCCTCTTGCCGTAGCACCCTGCAGCGCGTATACCCGAGCGTGTTGTATTTCAGCTTGGTGTGTTTGCTTTTCATTGTGTAAAATTGCTGTTCTTTTGACGATTCAAGTGACTATTTTCGTTTACTATGACTTTGAAAACAAAAAATTGTAAGAAAAAATTCCGATGATTGTGCTGTGGTTGGAGATTTTATTACCAAAATGTTTACACCTTTTGCCCCTTGTTTTGGGGAGCTGTTTGACTCTTTCTCCTCTTCCCCTAGTGGCTTGTAGTCTTTCCTATGTCATAATAAAGTTACCTTTTATTCGGAAAACTGGCTGGCTCTCCCCTTACTAACACAAGCAGCCAAAGAGAGGGAGGCTGGTGGGGAGTACCAGCCAGGCCAGAGCTTGCCTTGATGGGCCTGGCATCACCAAGTCAGGGCCCAGAGAATTCTTTGGGTTTTGGAAAGTCCATGGACTCTCCCACCCTCCTTTTCTGTAATCGGTGGTGGTGGGCCCTCCTTCCTCCTCTTGTGGGTGGGAGGGTGACATCCAGGATTCCGGACAGAAGTCATGTCAGGGCCTTTAAATGCGGTTAGATTAGAAGGCCTGGGCTATGGCATAGCAATGTGCATTCATAGTAAGCTGCCTATGTGATGAGAAACCAGTAAACACACAGAAATACATACAGTAAGCAGAGAGAAAACACACTCAGCTGTTGGAGTCCACGATTCTGCGACTGGTCATGAGGCTGTAGCTGACCACTAGCACGTCTATCTGCCCCACCCCTGTGCCCACACACGCCCCTTGCCCTCAGCTGTTCAGGATTCCCTGACTGGTTGGCCTAGACCCTCATTTCTGAAGCACTGGAGTTTTGGAGTTCCATATAGTTTTTCCTTCTTTTTTTTTTTTTTTTTAGAAGAGATGGATCTCGCTCTATTGCCCAGTCTTAGAGGGCTGTGGCATCATCATAGCTCACTGCAACCTTGAGCTCCTGGCCTCAAGTGATCCTCCTGCCTCAGCCTCCTGAGTAGCTGGGACTACAAGTGAGCGCCACCACAACTGGCTAATTTTTCAGTTTTTTTTATAGGGGATTATATTGCCCAAGCTGGTCTTGAACTCCTGACCCCAGGCACTCCTCAGCCTCCCAAAGTGCTGGGATTACAGATGTGAGCCACTTCTCCCAGTGGCCTCTCCTTTTTTTGGATGCCTTTGTTGGAAACACCAGGAGGCACCAGAGACAAGCTGGGGTCCAGACTTAGTCCTTGTCTGCATTGTGTGGCAGCCTGTTCAAATTCAATAGAACCCTTGCTGGGCTCTGTTGTGTGTCCCTGGGAGAAGATTCCCCCACTTGGGGCCAAACAGCTTGAAACCAGCAAAGCTCAACTTCTCCAGGACAGGAATCAGAAAATTTCACACCTGATTCCCAGACCCATACATTGTGGCTATGGGAGAGTCAGCACCATATAGTGGCTTCTAGTCAAAAGCATAAAATTCATCTTGTGAGACAGCCTCATCACTTCACCGTAACTGAGTCTTCCGTAAGCCCACTTTGATCCATGGACACGGGCCCACCATTGCATGTCCTTTGCTGAGCATTGGGTGCCCTGCCAAGAAGCAGTGCTGTGTGGCCTGCCTGAGGGTGCAGGGCGGTGCTGATGGGCGGGGCAGGCAAAGCCGTGTCCATAATAGGGGCGGGACCAGAGTGGTATTTTATGGGATATTAAGTTAATATGTCTGCAGACTCTGTTACAGCAGAAAGCAGAATTACCGTGGCCCTGAGGCTGTACCCCGAAGGTCTGCTGTTGGCCCTGCAGGGAGAAGTAGACTGCTTTGGTGATCCTGACACACTGGTGTGGAGAAAAAGGCCTTAGCCAGGTCAGTCAATGTGTACTTAGTGCCAGGGCATAGGCAAGTGCCCCAGGGCAGTGGAATCCTGGTGAACGCTGAGCCCACGTGATGGGCACGAGAAGAGAGAGGACACTGCGCTGGAGACGTCAGGAACAGCAGGATCAGATGCCACGCAGACCGCAAACGTGGCCACGTCGCAGCAGTGATGAGCAGGAGCTGCACTGCCCTCGGAGGACTGGCCCGTGGGAGAACACAGCTCGGTTCTAGGCACCGCTGAGAAGTAGAACCAGTGGGAAGAAGTTACAAAGAAGCAGAGTTTCAGCCTGAGACAGAACATTTTCCCAGGAGGAGCCGTCTGAGAGCAGAAGAGACTGAAGATCTGGGCCTCTGGTGAGGGGGTGAACGTGACAGGTTGGTCTCCTTGAGAGACTGGGAGCTGTCTTCTTGGAGCAGGCAGGAGGTTTTCTGGGACATGCTCTCGGGACCAACAGCTGCCAGTGGGCGGCGGGGTGGAGATTGGGCAGCAGGAGAAGTTGGGGTGCAGTACAGTCA